GGGGGTAATAACGTCGTCCAGCTGTTCAGATGTATACAAAGTCAAAGCCTAACGTTTTATTATTATTGTCGTTTTAAAAAAAAATGGCAGTTTTGTAGTCTGAGGTATCTGTTGCGTGTGCTCAAGAAATATTTTGTCGAAATTCAAATTCTAAATGTTGGAAAAAAAGCAAGGCATTATAATGTACAGAATGTAGGCACAGTTGTTAAAAGAACGAAGGGCTATTCCACGGTAACTGGCGGGACAGAGAACACTAGATCTACCTCATATGTCCTGTCAGTCACCGAAACTAAACATGTAACAGATTTTGCATAAACTATTTTGTTTTCAAATGACTATGTATTATGATTCTGAATATTATGTCTTTCAAATGTTCTGATCATTTAAATTTGAAATAAAATAATTGACATTGAATTACAGTGCTATCATTGTAAGAAAGTATAGTGCAAATGTCCAGTCAGTTACCGGGGAATAGATCTAGCCCTGAAACAGTTTTTTTCCCTCTCTCCCGAAACATTTTGCTTAGTGGACTCAGAACATTTGAACACCTTTCCGATGATGTGTCGCTCCTAAAATTGAACTGGTGACATTTTCCCCTAAAAAACACAAGTGTTAAAACAGCAACCTCACCTCATGGTTGTTGAGAAGTCGGGGCGATGGGAGATCGGCTATATCCCCGAATCCTGAGCAATTGGAGGCTTCCATCATGTAGTTTTCTTTGTCCACTTTGTCCGCAGTTGTCCGGCCACTCATCAGCAGTCGGGAGATTTCCCACACCCAGTGACAACCGGACTTGGGATAGGAGCACAGGAGGACGTCATCCTCCCGGAGAGGAACATCCTGGAAGGCACATTGTAGGTCAAGAACAGATATTGATTATACATGTATCTATCTAGTGGTTAGGCTCTCGTCGGACTCGCAACCGTAAGGTCGTGGGTTCGAATCCCGTTATGTCTCTGGGAGAGGCCCTTTACCACAAGTCTTCCTCAATTCACCCAGGTGGGAACGAATACCCGGCTATAGACAGCAGAAAGCAAAAAAAAAAATATTGTCAGTTTGTTAGTGTTTGAGTACACGTAATCCGCAGATTTCTCAGTGCGTTCCCCGGGAAGCCGAAAGTGTTTCTGAGTGTTCTAGGGTTTGCTGGGGGTAATGATAGTTGTAAAGCACATGGAGTGTGCTGTAGGACGTGGATATGCCCTATATTAATACATGTGTTAGTTAGTTTTAGTAATTTGTTTTACTGCGCTCGCAACAGCATAAGGTCATATGAGCGCCAAATACATGTGTATGTCATCATCATAATCATCATATTATTGCCAAACCTGGAGCAGACATCGGCGAAAATGGTCTTTAAGTGGCTATGGACTACCCCGTGTATTGTGTGCCTTCTGTTTTTCCAGTGATAGCAAGATGCTCAAAGCCCTTATGTCGATTCAAGTCTCCCAGTAATTGCATTTGTCGCTTCCTTTTAACTCTCAATGGTGATCAGCCACGTAGGCAGGCTTCTTTCAGTATTTCCTCGTTTGATTTCCTGTCCTTCCATGAAATTCCCAAAAGCCACCTACGAAACTACATTTCTTTAGCTCCTATTCTATTTTCACTACCTTTGGTAAATGTACACCATTCATAGCCGCATAGAACCTTTAATTCAGTAGTCCTTGATATTATGTTTCTATTTTTCAGTGTTGGGCTCTTTTTATAATTGAATTTGTCTTTAGCTATTACGATTCCTTGTTTTTTTTTCGTGTAACATTTGGAATCAGAAGTAAAGAATATATCTTAGATATGTGAACGGTTGAACTTATTTGACCCACCCCCCCTCTTTTTATGAGATTACAAATAGGGTTTACTGTTGTTAAAAATGTTTCATTCTTTTCTTCTTCTTCTTCTTCCTCTTCTTCCTCTTCTTCTTCTTCTTCTTCTTCTTCTTCTTCTTCTTCTTCTTCTTCTTCTTC